AAGGCAGAGAGAGAGAGAGAATCTAATCTAAGAACAAGGTGCATGGGAAGTGATCAAATCGGAGAGAGAGAGCGGTAGGCGCGAACTGAGCTAAGGCTTAGTGAATATTCTTACACTGTAACGGAGGGTCAGTGGGAATGCTGTCCCGGTAGCTGGAGTGATGGAGAGAGTGTTGGTGGTGGTGGTGGTCCGTTCAGGTTCAGGCAGATGGGGGGTAGTTGTCTTACCATGCTGGAGCCAACCTGCTGCAGTAGCCCGAGCCCCTGCTGCGACGATGTCGAGGACACGGACGGCCGTCTCGAGCCGCGAATACTGTTCAGGCTTGAACTGAGCAGATAGGGCACGCTGCTACTTGTGATCGGCATTCCCTGCGAACAGATCTCGATTTTATTCGGATGGCCCCACGCACGGAAAAATATTCTATCGCTAAGAAAAACGATTGCTCAATTTACTTTCTTCCTTCTAAGTCTTTAACACAGAATGTCTAACTTCTTCTTGACCAATAATCTTAAAATATATTTATATATCATAATTACATATAATTGTATAAAACATTTTTTTCCCGAATTATTACAACTTTTAGGGGGAAAAAAAAAAGGAAAAACTCATTATCTAAAAACAAGAATTAATTTTCTTTTGAAGAATATTTTAAAATTAATCGAAAAAAAAACGACTGGGTATAACAAATCGAATTTGTTTTAATTTACTGTAATAATCTTGATCAAAGTATTACACTAGAATTCGCAATATATTTCGAATAAATTTGAACAGATTTGTGAATATATGAATTTTTGACATATTTATTAAAACAGGTAATTATTACTTGCATACAGTATGTATTTTTCTTTGTGCACCTGTAATTCCTATACAGCATAGAATAGCTTGCAGCAATTTTTGCATCAATTGCAATACTGTTGGAATAATTTGTGCTGTACGAATCGCTATCGAAATTACCCATCGCCAAAATTACGCGATTTATGCGCGAGAGGCAGAAGAGAGAGAGAGAGAGAGAGGGGGGGGGGGAAACAAATTTCTCGATCGTTAAAACTCATGATCGTTAAAACTTTGCGCGTAAATCTAATTTGCGATTCCGCCCGCCTATACTCTGTTAATATTCCGCGCATTAATACGCCGCGCGGCGGATCAATTAACAACTCCGATTTATTTCTGCTTTACGCCGTCTGTGTGATCAATAGGAGGTATTCGCTTTTATAGATGGCAGGTGGTTTTCCGATTGTTCCGAAGAATGTTAGTAGGTCATGCTAGTTTAAGCTTCAATGCGGTCCTGCGCTATTTAATTATTTAATATATGTAATTTTCGAAATTAAAAAAAAATACGTTAAAAATTCTCTATGAAAGGAGACTCGGTTCAGTACACGGTCCTTTCGCGTTTCACGACCGCAGGCGATTGTTCGACTTTATTATTCGTATCAATTTTTAACGTCATGTATATTTCTTTTATATTTCACTTTTTTTTATTATTATTATTATTATACGAGTCGCGTAGCGGCGACATCGTTTCGCAGAAAGTGCAAATTATAGTAGGCGTGGAAGATACGTATGCAATGTACATACCGTGGGCGGGGATAAATTAATATTGGACCCGCGTCGTTCCTGGGGACCGATGCTGGAGTGCCGACGGATCGGCGGCGGGCCGGTGCCTGGCGTCCCGCCCGGCGAGCTCGCGCAGGACGGCGCTATCCGTATCTTCGGTGTCATCAGGGTGTTGTCCGACAGTCGTCTGCTGGTGAACGTATTGGCGACTCGCAGGAAATTACTGTCGTTGGCCGAGGGCGAGTTGAACCATCCGCCGAACATCGCTAAACAGACCGCGTTGCGTACGGTTAAATCGTCGATCTCTAGAAACGCAATCGCGCTTTCTTCCACCGAGGAAAAATTAAAGAAATATTTTACACGGAGGGGGAAGGCCAGGAAAAGAGAGGCCCGTCATCCTTCACTTACCAGCCATCGAGCTTTTCCGCGCCATATTTTCCGCGGACGCCGTTGAAATGGATCCTGCGTGCAGGGAAAACGTTCGTTTTAATATCCGTAAACTGGGATCGCTTGAATCCTTGGAGGACCGTTTCCGTAAATATTAAATTAGCTTAATGGTACCATCCCCCCCCCCTCTCCCGTGCTTCGATCTTCCAGGACTCTCTTCGAGGACTTTTCTGTCACTCGAAGGAGTCGAAGTTTTTTTATTAAATAACCGCTCAGCCGGCTCAGCTTAGCTAATATTTATGGAAACCGTCCACCAGAGTGCTATCTCACTGTGGAAGAAAAGTGTCGTAACCCTTTTAACTGTTACGGATGTGTTGAAAAGGAAACATTAGACCTCATTACAAATTAATCCAAGACAACGAGAGGGAAGTTTGAAAAAATTCAGTCTCTTGACACAAAGGATATCACGTTGCTCAAAGGATTTCTCTTGGAAAAGACACCAGAGTCTAATATTTCTGTCAATGTTCGCACCAATGCTATTCTTTCTGGCCATGTCCTCGGCCGACGAGGTCTTGCGTTGCTCGATGCGCAAATTGGGAATGTTAAACGCCGGCACGTGTACGTTGTCGGTGCTGTATTGGTGTCGCAAGGGTCGAGACTTGTCGGGGCTCGGTAAAGAGAGATTGTCGAGCGTCAGCTTGTTTCTCTGATTTCTGCAATTTAAAAAAATGAGGGAGAGCCCGCGCGTTATGGAAATTCCGAAGATGCCTATATCGATCGATAGTTGCGCAATATTAATTAATTAGCAACCGCAATATTCGTTAATTATACGAAGTGCTCCACGTTGCAATCGCGTTAAGTGGCGTAAATAAGATCTTTTGAACAGTCGAAACAACGATAAAAAGAATTATGGGAAACAGGAATTAATTATGATGTAAAAAGATTAGATATTCTTTCCTATAAATTTTACATTGAGCGACTCCCGATTGGATATACGTAAACAGTCATTAATATTTTACGAGTTGAAAAATTCTTTAATGATTTTACCTGCCATTACTTTATATAATTATTCATTTATTTTCACAATGATTATTAATTATAAGCCGCCAGGGAATCATTATTCCGCACTCCTGTTTACCGAATATATATACTACTACGATCTTAGCTTTAATTGAAACTTGCCTCTCAATGTTGTTCAGCATATCCTGCAGTACCTCAAGAAGCAATATGAATTGCTCGAGATTCAGCTTTGGATTCACGGTTTGCGGTAATAGAGAAGGCATTGCATGCGTCGCCATCCAATTCACTGATAACCCATATTTCTTATCGGTCAGCATCAACCTGTAAATATCTGAAATACGCGAAGAGAAACGAGAATAATTAAATGCGTGTCTAAGTAACGACCGCTTCTTTCTTTTTAGAATGAATATTTATCTGTCCCTATGGATACTATAACCCCCGTGTTTTTCCTTTTTTCATTTTCTTTATTTTCCTGTCTCGAATCGTATTACATTATGTATTAAAACGTTCCCTAGCTGATATCTATCCTCTTACTGACAGCCAATAAGAATATTGGACTACAAAGTTTTTGAGATTATTATAGAAGACATTTCATGTCACAATCTAGAGGCGAATGTATTGAAATATATTCGAAAAGAACGGTTTTATCGACGTAACTAAAAACTGAGCTGCATACAGATCTAAAAATAATTTTGCTGGATCATATATCCATCATTAAAATAATTATTAAAACTCTTAAACGTTGATGACAATGCTTTGACATTTTAAGAATAATTTCAGCATCCTGCTTAACTATTTTGATAGGTCAAATAAAGTTATTTTTAGCGTATCTAAAATTAAATTTTTAATTAATCGACTAAAGGGCGCAACGCTAATTTTTCATTAGCGAGATAAAATTTTTTTATTCACAATATATAAACATAGTACAAGTGAATTAGATTTTTAAGTACTTCAGCAAAACTGTTCCTTCCGCGTAGGAAATTTTTTTTTAATCGCTTGTCTCAACAGATAAAAATAGAAAGATAAAATCGCATTTTGAAACATCTTCCAAGTGCTTTGATTTAATTTTGCTTTCATGAGTTTTTATTTCAATTACAGTGAACATTTTAATACTATTATATAATTAATGTAATTTAATATGATTATAAGTTAACACTGTTCAGCTGGTAAAGCAACAATTGATCGGTCGGGATATGATTTCTATTAAATGCGCGCGCGTATATAAATCCACGTGTATTCGCCTTTACTTCCACTTACTTACAACCCGCACGACGATCTCGGGTTCTTGCAGCTTGATTTTACAGAGCAGCGGAAGAATGCAATCGATGATCTTCTGCTTCTCAAGACGGCTTAGGATGCATGGAACCACATCCATGAGCACCCGAGCGTTCGCCGAATTATTTTCGAAGGCGTCTAGTAGTTTCGGCAGCACCACGTTACGTATGGCATCATCTTCGAGACGATTCGTCACGTGTGCCACGGCCACGAACGCGGCCGTCTGACGAAACGAATGAATTGTTGATGCGACAACATTTTTCGATGACTTCGCATATTTATGTGATCTTTTGCATACGAACTGTTATATCGTTCAGATATACGTAGGTCAAGAATATTATCACTACGAAAATTCTGAATACCGTAAAAAAGTGTCGATGAATTGAAATAGAATTTAGAAGAGAGATGTATGTCAAATTAAGAATACATATCAAAAATTTGAGGACAATTATTAAAAAGAAAGGTTAATGAGAACCGAATCTCGGTGCGTAAAATAAATGAATTAAAAACGTTCCGGTTTTCTCCTCTCCGCTTGGCCGTTATCTTGGAATTCATAGTTTATTCAGCTTACCAACCGGCCGTGGTTGACATTAATTCAATTTTGAAGTCGAATTTTCGAATCCAAGATCGATCTCGGTTTGAGAGCGTAAATTTAATTTTACTATATGTAAAATACTCCAACTCTTACCGAAATTTCCAAATTTATGTATCTTTAATAAATACTTATGATTAATTTATTTTACGTACCGAAATTTAGCTCTCTTTTTAATTATTGCTTTTTAAATTTCAGAGTCCTATTAATCCTTCGCTAAAAATTATATTCAATAAGACAGTAAGATATTCGAAAAATGTAAATATAATGTTTCAAACATTAGAGTTTGGTTTCTGCAATTAATGGATCGCTATTTATTTCACGAATAGTGAAATCGCAGTAACGTTTCCCTTTTTCCCTGTGTTTACTCACCCGCACTTGAATGGTCGAATTTTCAAAGGACATGTACAGCATCGCGAGCACCTCGCGTTCGTATTCCTGGGGCGTCTTCTCCAGGATGATGTGCAGATTTTCCAGCAGGGTGACGGTTCCCTGAATCGACTTTCGATTGGTGAAGAGAGGTCTGCGGGAGCGAAGGAAAGAGAGAGAGAGAGAGAGAGAGAGAGAGAGAAACGGAAGAGAGGGTGAGATGAGACGTGCCTATTTCGCGCGGTCTCGCGCTCATTTCCGCTCTCGTTCTGTATGTAATACGTACTTAAGCGTGGGAAACACGATCCGTTCGTATTCCTCCTTCGTGCTGCTCTGGACAATGTACAGCATGGGCTGCAGCACGGCCGACAGCACTTCCTGCGTCTGCAGCTCCGCGTGAAGATACGTCCAGATGTGCTGATACCAGAGTTTCTGCACAAAACGGAGAACGTTTGTGTGACACGCGACATTTCGCGGAGGCACGTACGATTAGATGAATTGGAATTTGGATCACAGTGTAAACGTACGGCGCAATCTGTGGCATATTGTAAAATAATGCGATGAGCTAAACATGTTAATCTCTTGAGATATCGTAATGTTTATTTCAATTCGACGACATTGCCCGTTGAAGTTATTCAATTCTATCGACGTCATCTGACATCGGATTTACATAGTAATGCATATATCAAATTTGAAAAAAAATTAAATTCCATGTATCAAAATTTACGTTTAGCTCTCTTTTTAATTATTGTTTTTTAAATGTAAGAAGCCCTATTAATCCTTTGCCTAAAATTAGAATCATTAAGACAGTAAGATATTCGAAAAATGTAAATATAATTTTTCAAATATTAGAGTTTGGTTTCTGCTTCCATCTTTCATTGGTATTAATGATTTGAAAAAAAAAATTAATTTGTGTATGAATTATACTTATTAAACATATTCTTGAATTGAATTTAAAAGAAATTCTTTTAACATGGTTCCAATAAAATCAGGTCCAAAGGTGTTAAAAAAAGGAAGAGCATAGCCAATCAATCTTTTGCTTATCATGGAAAATTCATTGCATTATTCTATCGAAGATCTCATTTGCTCCACTAAACGTTTTAACATTTCTTCTTCACGTCTCTATAATAATCTATCGGAAATCTATTGGATTCGCCCGGAATTACGGAAAGGATGTTCTCGGTGCATTAAAATGCAGAAAATGAACTCTGAGGGATTATAGTAGAATAATTAGCAAAAAGCGGATTACCATTATTATAAAATGAGAAGAATTGTGAGGCATCTTCGATAAGCATTTCAAAGGAATATACATACATTATGATTTATATCAAGATTCAAGCTAGCCTTTAGATGGCCGGTTCTTCGTTCCAATTCTTCGCGATTCTAATTCACTCCAAGCCCATCCTGAATATATATATATATATATATAACGTCATGACATTTGCGTGTACCTTTGGCATATACGGCAGAAGTTCTCTTAAAGTCGTCGTGTAAAAGTGCTCCTTCTGATGTACGTCCTTCATCTTGCTGACGTCGAGAAATTGCAGAGCGTGCACGAATGGGTCTTGAAAGAACTTGATCATGGTCAAAACTTGCGCAGTCGGTCTCTGCTTGGGGTCCTTGTGCAAAAGTCGCGTCACAGCTTCTCGAAGTGGTATCGGTATCAGTGGCAAAAGAACGGCAACTTGATCGTCAAGCTAGTATAGAAAGCGACAATCTAACGACTCTCTTCAGCATTACTTCCTTACTTTTCTCTTTTGCTTTTCGAAACGTTCGGCGGAATTGCGATCGAAGTGCCGTTTACACAACGATAGAAAAAAAAAAAAAACAGGAAAGAACAGTTTTGCTAAAAGTATCTAAAAATTCAGCTAGATACGGATCGTCAAAATAAAAGAACGTATTAAACTGATTGCTAGAATATTAAAATTTTTTGCAGCATTGCCATCGTCCAAGAGAGACTCTTTCTTTCGATTCTTAACGTCAATAAACATTCAAATTTTGTAAGAGAAAAAAGAAATCACCATTTTAACTTTCGTGTGACGTGTCAAAATAAGGTTATTTTGATTTTCTCTTAACTTGGTGCATTCCTCCAAGTAACGTTTAAACATATCCTATATAATTATTTTATGAACGAACAAGATTATTTTCAGATCTGCTCGATTCTGTCTAGCTCGATTTTTTGACGCTTCAGCAAAAGTTCTTTCTCCGTGAACTCACAACTTGAGGAAGCGCAACTGAAAGGAACAAAGTTTATTTACGAAGATCAGAGCGATGAGAAGGCGAAGAGAGATTCCGTGTCTCTCGAGAGTTAAATACTTTTAAAGATCATCCTATGATTTCTTCGCGTCCTTTCGAAGGGAATATCGTCTCGCCTGCGTCTCGCGAACGGATTGACTTACGGTCTCGAGTTGCTTGAGATAATCCGAGCAGCTGTGATTCGCCTGTATCAGTGGCCGGCCCTGATTGTAAATCGCGCATATCGTCATCCCTAGGCTGTACATGTCGCTGAAGAAGCTCCCGAGCTTTTTCTGCTGCACCTCTGGCGCTGTAACATGTTGCGCGGCCGCGTGTTACAAACAAATCCCCAGTCGACGAGGTGCGAGAAGGATCATCAACAATGCAAATATGCAGGAAATCGTATCGCATCGCCACGTGCGGAAAGCTATCTCAGTAATTTTCGGAAAGCTCGCTATGGCTCGATCGAAGCTGCCGGATGGAAAGCAGTAGCCCGTTTTATCACTGAAGTTCGAAGTTAATGAAGTTTCTTGCATAAATCCGATCCCGTTGACGCCACCGAATTATTTATTTTCTTTTTTCTTGCACGCGTAAGCAAGTCTATTTTTTTTTAATATGTAGAATAAACTCGCTTTACATTTTACATTTGATCGGAGTTTATCGAATGTATTTTTGATTATAAAACAGAGTTCACGTTGTGTTATTGTGACGACTGTATAATTAGATTTCTATTTTCGTTGCACGTTTAACGTTAAATACGAAATTGCTTTATGTAACCGAGAATCGTAAGGGAAACACGGGACGAAAAACAAACCGCGTTAAATATTAATAAATGTACGCTCGAAATACAGATTTACATCTTTTCGATTGTACGGAGAGATTGATTTGCCTATTTCTATCACGCTAAAGAGAGAGATTCCCTGTAAAGGTATATTTATACAAAACGTTGGTTTATAGAAAAACCATTTCTATTTATGGACTGAGAGCTGCTTCTTTTCATACGAGAGATCGAGAACGCATTCAACGTGTTAAACGTTAAGGAAAGATAAATCTGATTTTTATCAAATTTGCAAGGCTCGTAAAATACGTAGGTACTAAAAGCGGCTTTCCCAGCGTGGGTGTGCGTTAACGACAACCTTTACGATGTCTCACCTATGTAATCGAGATTCGGCTGAGTCATTTTTGGCATGTGCTTCGTCCATGACTGCACGGTTATCGGTATTTCCTTGGCACCCTCTAACAAGCGAAATATATTCTGACTAAAACTGCAGCGTAAAAAGGTCGCGCATCTATCTTTTTTAACCTTCGATATCACGTCTAACCGATACGTCGTTTACCTTTCATCGATTTTATTTCTACTGTATAATATATTAGTACACAAGCCGCAATGTGTACAAGGAAATAATTTCAAGATTTAATGACTCCCAATCCTTCAAATTTGCTAATATAATTTTGTCATTGTACAGGGTGTTAGTTAAGTATTCTTTGGTTTATTTCAAGTAAAAAAGTCTATATAAACCATGTGTCCTAAATGATTTAGTTTCCGAAATAAAACAATTTTAACGCGTAGTAATAATCTGTTTATTCGAAAGAAATACAGCTCGAAAATTAATATAGTCAAAAATTAATCAAAAACAGGCCTCAGTTCTTCTGATGAAATAAAACAATTAGATGAATTGTTGAAAATGTCCACCTTGCGCCATGATACATTCATCGAGCCTTCTTCTCAAAGATACCAGGTGTGTTACGTATTGTCTCGCATGAAGCAACTATTCGATTCCTCAAATCATTCTCATTCTCAATTGGGGTGGTATAAACCAATGATTTCAGATGCCCCCAAAGGAAATAATCCAAAGGATTTAAGTCTGGTGAAGGCTTTGACTTTGACTTTGTCACTTTGTTTACGGTTGTGCGAATAGTAACTCACGTGGAAGCAAGGCATATTTATGCAGGGAGATATCTCCACCGCAATTTACCGTTTCGTCAAACATTCGCGAACATTCACCTGTATTTCGGAAACTAAGCCGTTCAGGACACATGTTTATATGGACTTTTTTACTTGAAATAAACCGAAGAATCGCTCTGTTGAGTATGGCAGCATAGTTAACTAACACCCTGTATATTCATTTATCGATGAATTATACTTTACCGTATTTGCCTTTCGATAGTTTGATGAAAGATAATGTTTTAATTGATGAAAAGTGGGTGATATACTTACTAAAAATGGATAGACTTCGATTAGTGTCTCTATCCTTAGTACGAAGGATGACGAGATTAGACTCACCGATAAACTCGAACCCCGATAACTTCCACGTGCCTCTTTTTGTGATAATGATGCTCGTCGGGCAAACGTTTCTATGGAGAAATTTACAGTTGCCGTGAAGAAATAATAGGGCTTCCGTGATCTGCAAAACGTAAGCAATAAAAAATTCATAAATCCCGCTACCTGGAGACCGGACTCTAGTTTTTTTCATTCCAATATTATTTTTAATAACGTCTCATATACTTTTCGATGTTGTTCCTCTATTAAGTTAATTTTTACGCTTCAAATAATTTTTCAAAGTAAAAATGGTAAATAGTCTAATAATTAGCCCTTTTCACTTTTTTCACATTTCTGTTTTGTTTTCGGTAACGGCACGAATTAGATATATAGAATTACCTTTCGAAAGACATAAATGCAAATTCGAATCATTAAACTGAGTTACTGAACGCGATCGCTATTAGACAACGGCAAGTCTAACTCGTGGTTTGAGAGAGTTGACGGCATTAGATATTCTATTACGCTCCCTCGTAATACATTCTATTATGTAAACTATTGTACATCGAAGCGCGGCACCGCCGCGCCGTGATGGAGATGATTTCGCGTGGTTACAAGCGGGAACTCGTTTTTGAGAAAATTCACTTTGACCTTCCTCTCTCTCTCTCTCTCTCTCTCCCTCCCTTTCATTGTCCCTTTCGTTATTGCACGCATGCGCTCGGATTCGACTTAATTTTCCACAACGCGACCCCGTTATCGCATCTACGCGCTTATGATTCCATGCTTACGCACAATGTCACGGTCATACATGCGTACTCGTACATTGAAATTGCCTCTCCTCTATTTGCTATTATATAGGTACCGTTTAGATCTAATTTCGTGCTGCAACGTACGCGCTGCATCGTTACAACGTAATATCACAAGGATAGTAGTTTTTATGGAAATCTTCGATCGCGTGTCTAGAGAAAAAAGAGGTGGAGAGAGAGAGAGTACGTAGAAAAAAGCACAATGGCGATATTGTAATAACACGAGTATAAGCTTAAAAACACATCACTTTGTTCCTCTTCTCCGTACTCTTGTTTCATATGACTTAACTGCTAATGGACGAACTCCATTATCGGTGCCCCGGATTTGAGGTCGCAAAGTCCGCGAGAGTAGATACGATAGACAAAGAGAGGTTTCCGGAAATCGAGGTATACGTAGCAAAGGAGAAAGTAACAATTATCTTTTTTCACATGTTTTTTAATCATCGTGGATCCCGAGAACGATCCACTGAAATTTTTGTATTAATTTACAAAACCGGAATATTTTAGAAAGCAATACATAACATTATGTAAAAAAAATTAATACAAAAATGTAGCACTAACACAATTTCTAAGCAAACTATGGAAACATATATATTTATATTTTTTTTTTTCAAAAAAATTAGCACGTATCTATCTTATTTATTCATTTTTAGAGTTTACGTTTTAAAGCACCATCGTTTTTATGTTATTTGTCCACTTATTCATAAATTATTTTTGACACTATAAAATGTTGAATATCAATTTAACAAACTATTTAAATAACATAATCGCATTATGTTAAATTCATTACTCGAATTTATTAAAAGAATCAACATAAAGTTTTTTTTTTTTTTTCAACAAAAAACCTGCGTGAGTGAAGCTGATTTTAACACAAAATAAAAAAAACATCTTTTACCACGCTGGGTCTCCTTAAATATTTTTTTCGCGAAATTTTTGCCGAGGCACGAATTTGAATTTTATAATTTTCACAGAGATGAATTTTGATTCTCATAGAGATAGAAAAATTATGAAATGTTTTCAAAGCCCAATTAGGGAATCTATTGCCCCCGGAAATGTGTATCACGTCGGTGGTCGTCCCCCCTTTGTCGTCAACGTCGCCGCTCTCTTACCTGTAGAAGCCCGTACTTGACCTCCAGTTCGAGCAGCTCGTACTCCTTGACGAAGGTCGAACGGTGGCTGGTGGTCGGCGGGTGGCTCTGCTTGCCCATCGGCCCCGAGGATTGCGCCGCGAGCGTGTTTGCCAACTGCTCCTTGTACGCCAGGACGTTCGCTAAGCTGGCGAGGACCGGCTCCGACGCGAAGGCCAACGTGTCCGCGCACTCCTCCACTTTGTACGCCTACATCGCCGGTGAAATATAGCGCGTGATCGATGTACGGAGTGGCTCGGCGAAAACGCTCGAATTTGCGATATAATCCGCATTGATCGAAATATCTCGAGTGAATTCACGTGCCGCGAATACCTTGCGTAGTATGCGCACGTACCTGAAGAAGCTTCGGATGCGAGTACCGCTCCATTTGTGCGGCGCCCGCGCGTAGGATGTCCGTGACCGTTTCCCGGCGTTTCGGCTTGTGCAGCTTCTCCACGGATCGTTTGTCGAACAGGAAGATCGAGACCTCCTGCGAGCGAACAAAATGCTTGCGTTCATCTTCTATCCGCTATCGTCGCCCTCTACGAATCGTAAGCTCGATATTCAAACACGTGACTCTCTTGCACTGAGAGAAAGAAGTGGTTGCAATTATAATAATAATTTAAACGTAATTTATAGTCATCTCTATTTAGAATAATTATATATTTATAGTTGCCAAGCAAATGTAGTCCATTTTTGTTTTTAAATGTATCTTTCATTTATTATATTATCTCATAAATAGTAAGCGAATATTAAAAAATAATTGTATTCACTATAATTGCAATTGCATTTGCTAAATAAAAACATTTATTTTGTTTATTATTTATATCTTGATTGTATTATCTTGAATATATTTTTTATTAATATTGAAATTGTTATAAATTACGATATAATTTTTTCATATTTGAGAGAACATTATACATATAAGATTATTATTATTATTATACTAGCATTACAGCAATAATAATAATCATACAAATGAAATTACCAACCATAATTATTTTAATCATGCAATTGTAGTCTCAAATATTGAACAATTTGAATAATTTCCCTGAATTATCAAAGTAATTATGTAGAAAACTTAATGAGTGATGCTGTAAAAAATTTGATATTCTAACAGCCTGAACGTTCTACATAATTATTTTGGTTGGATGGTCTAAAAAGTTAATGCTTTTGAGGCTTTCACGGGTATTTTTTAGACAGAAGCTGCATTTCGCGAAATATCTCCGTATCCAGATCCATTATTAGAGTACCACGTTTCGTGAATATTGCAGCTTAATTCATCAAGGCGAGGAACAGCCTTGCTGAACAGATACTGACTTGCTCCTTCAAAGTCCAAAACAATTATTTTTTCAGATCTCTATCTAGTTAAATTTTTAGATACTCCTTCTATAAAGCCATTCTTTCCATGCATTTACACATCAGATAGATTCAAAATCGAATGAATTATACTTTATTCTCGCATTTGAATCCCTCCAAAAGTGATTTTCCAAATCTGATCAATTCAAATCTAATCCGCGATTCGATCATCTCTCTTTTTATTTTATTATCTGGACATCGTTAAAGTCGCACCGTTAAAAAAATAGGAAACTAAATCACGACGGTTAAAGTCAATCGTCGATAGGAATCGTTGAATCATCCATCGATATCCCAAGTAATCTCTTTTGACGTCAATAGCTAGTCATTTTAAATCATTGACCTTACGTTACCTATTTAAAATGTAATAACCGTCTTTTTAAAATAATGACGTCATTTATTTATCCATTCGAGGGGCTGTGTTCCAAATTTATTACCAGCGCTGAAAATTTATGTGCACTATAGATCTTCAGTACTGGCAATTAATTTCGAAATACAGCTTACGAGATATTTACAACGTTGTACTTACTAACGTCGGATGACCAATTGACGATGTACTAGTGACATTATTAGTGATCAGTTAATAACGTTATTTATTTATGCCATTAAAAACATGAAAATAACGTTGGGTTACGACGTTATATAGTTATAAGAAATTCACGTCCTTTTTACGATGATTAAACGTCAGATTCATCATTAATTAGTCATTCTTCGCATAAAAATACCTAATTAATGACGTCAAATAGACGACACCTTACTACCTGGGATCGTTTTGACGTTAAGAAAATAGAAAAAACATGAGCAATAAGAATCTTATTTTAGACCGTATGTGGAGAATTGATAAACTAGAAGCCAACACCCAGAGAAAAGGTTTCTTCGATTTAAAGATATGTTTCTTTGCTGTACGGTTAAAGGAAACATTTCTTTCATTTGTGAACAACATTTCCTTGATTTAAAACATTATTCTTTTAAATCGAATAAAATTTATTTGATTTAAAGAAATTATGTTCGAATCAATTAACAATTTTCTTCGATTTAAAACAATAATGTGCGAATCAAAGAAACGACGTTCGCAAATCAGAGAAATTTTTTCAATTTTTTTACCGTATACCAAAGATACATTCCCTTAAATCGAGGAAATCTTTCTCCGGGTGTATACCGATCGAAGCTGGATCTTTAAATGCTTAAATTCAGTGTGAAGCGTATATATGTACATATTCTAAAAAAAACATGAGCAAACGGCTCGTAAGGAAGTCACAAGGGTGTCAACAAAAAAATCAAAATGTCTTTATAATCAAATGTCAATAAACGTTATCACTTTGACTTTCAAGACGTCGAAGTGTAAAGTCATTTTGACTTCCTCTTCACTTGTATCCCTTGGGGGGAGGCGGGGGG